CACCTTCGCAGCTACGACCCTTCAGTGATCAAGAAGGAGCTGCAGGAGCTCCGCGTAGGGTGGTCCCACGCTACAGAACCCAAGATGCGCCTGAGATTCTTAGCGATATTGACCACCAGGCTGTCAATGATCAAGGAGGTCTGCGCGTGCTTTGAATGCCGCGCATGGTAGAGGCCCGACAAGACCACGCTTTCCTCGGAAAACTTGTTTGGAATGTTTCACGAGGAAGGCTAGTGCGATCTGAAATTCTACAGAGGCGCTGAGTACATTATTTCCCATGTTATTTACCGGTACACCCCCCTCAGTGCCGAGGTAGAACTATTCTCGGGAAAGAATTGAGCGCCGCTTGTAAATGCATGTCGCCATGGCTGGTGCATGCCACATGGTCCTTACAGTGTTCGTCGCGCCGACGGCGAGGGTGGTCGAACTATCGGTGCCACTGCACAAGAGTTCACAACACTTGGCATCACCGTAAAAGTCCGCGCGTAAGGACGGCATGCCTCCGCCGCCTAAGCCGGAAGCGGCGCACTCAGAGCGACTTTGTACATGATCGAGGAAGAATTCGGACGCCACAGCGTCTCGATGAGCTTCCAACGCGTGCTTGCAGGTACCATGTTTGCGCAACGCTCTCGCGTTCTAAAATGCAGTGCCCCCCATCTCAGGCTTACACTGGCCGACAGCCCGCCGCGCTGCCCGACCTGGACATGCCCGACATCCCCGAGACTCACGATTTCTTCGGGCATGAACGTGAGCAGCGTGTCCGCGACACCTGCTTGGAAGCTATAGCGCAAGACGCAGCATTCGCTGAGACCATTCGCGCTTTGCGAGCCTGTGCAGCCCCTTGCGGGGGTTGTCTATGCAACGCTGGGGGTCTTGTGGACCAATTATCGCAGGCCCGCGGCGACGCAGGACGACCGCGGCGGCTGGAATGGGCCCTATCCTGTGCTCAGAAACGAGCCTGAACGCGGCATGCTTGCGGCGGGAGCTGGGTCGCGAGAAGTTATGGTCCAATGCCCAGATGTCATGCGTGCCCTTTCTGTAGAAGCTTTTTTTGCAGGAGAACTGGGATTGGGCGATGTGGCCATGCGCGCTGTCGTGTCCTTTGTCTTTAAGCTTGGAACGCGGCAACCCGCCATTATTTTTCGGTTGTGTTCAAGATAACAAAGGACATGCCGGGGCGACAGGGGGCAAACTGGGCCCAAAAGTGCACCTGTCCTTACAATACATGATGTGAAACTGATGTCGGATATAACAGGTTCTTGCAAGTCGGGCTTGCTAGAAGCAGCAGCTCGTCTTGCTAACAGCACGATGTATTTCCCTCTTGTCAAATGCGCATCGTGCTGCGCGCTGATGCATTGCGGCAGCGATGCGGATCCTGGGTTTCACGACTATAATTGCGAAGGCGCTGGGCTAAAAGTATCAAGTATCGTTGGCATCGCTCTCTCTCTCGTCATATCCAGCGTGTGAAGTCCTCTTGTCGCACTTCACGTTTTGGCGAGGACCTCGCGCAGTTCCAGGGCAACCCTGGTCCTCCGACGTGTGACGACGAACCTGGACGCAGGCGTGGTCCCGACGCGCCCGTGCCCCCAGACCGCAGTGAGTGTCGTTTCCCTCATATTTGCGAGGGAAGCGAGGAACACGTCGTCGAGAGCGTGATGCTCGCAGGCTGATTAGACGAACTGCGTGAAGACCTTCGTTGCGTCGCGTTCTATGGCGACGATATCTACCGCGCCCCCGCCACCGTGATCCCTGATCAATGTGCGTCGCAGGAGCGATGGGCGACGATGGTTGTTCGCCAGTGGACTTGCCTGAGCAAGTGTTCGGCGACGAGCCCCCTCGTTCACGAGGCGCGTTTCGTTCCTCTTTGCGCCGCCGGTGCTGGCGAACCTTCCCGCGTGGGTAAGACGTGAGCGGCAACTGCGTGGAATTGTGGTTTGCCGCCGGCATGGCGAAATCCATCCTCGCCTGTGGGCAGATGGGTTCTTTTGCGAAGGCAGATGTTGCCGCCGTGGGTGTCCGCGCATCGACGGCAGCTAAAAAGCGCCTTCGTTGTCACGGAATGCCTCCCACCGCGACAGGCAGAACTGAGAACCCACAGACAGTCAGCGAGGCGTTTTGCACATAATTTGATATATGTATTAACAACGTATTTTTCGATATGTTCGATGTTTCGAACGCCTGTAACGTCATTGCATCACTAGATGCGTGCAGGTGGTCATATTCGCAAAGATAGATCGTCATGGCATCATTATATCGTCATTCGCAAAGACGAGAATGCGAGGGGTCATATTCGTTGGATACGTGAGCTCACTGGTACAGGTATTGCCCACAACGTATAATGGTGTGACGCTGGGGATATGACCGCAAGTGGCCATGCGCATGGGAGTTTTGAGGGAGGCTTTATTTTGGAAGTGATGTCTGTAATCTAGTCGTCCGAATATGACGTCACAATCTTTCGTCGTCGTGATGGGATGCCGAACGGCCCAAAAGTGAAATATGGAGTTGTGTTTGAAGTGCTGTGCGTCTGCGCGGTCTGCTATCTTTAGGACGCGTGCGCTTTTGCGAGCGCCTTTTGTTACAAGCGCACTCCACTATTCGGAAAAGAGCATGACGCTTTTCATTCGCCATCATACATTGGAGACGGAGGCCGATGCCCAGCCTTGAGGCCTTCAGGCTTCTAATGCGACCGATGTTCTGGAAGTGGGTCCGTTTGGGCTCGCTTCTTTTCTCAGGCTCAAGTGGTCCTTGAACCTCCCAAGCATCACTGCCTTTAGCTTTTCGGGCTGTTTTGCCTGACGTGTTGTTTACGTTTGGTGCGCGTCTGAAGCTTGTATAGGGCGGCAGCGTGCTTCGATATCCCCTCTCCCCCCCTTTCCGGGCTTAAGGGGAGGCGTCCAATGGGGCGCGACGCGCGCTTCTCTGCTGCTGCCTTGGCACAAGGTACGCGCGCCCAATTTGAACGCTATCAGAACGCTCGGGAACGCTTGGGAGCGGCCTTGACGCCGCACACATCCTGCAGAACCACCGGATCTCAGATATCCCGGATTTGTCCTGGTCCGTTTTTTACTTCGTCCTAGCTGTGCTGTGTCTTCGGCGAGGGGTGATAAGGGGATGGAAGCGGAGGGGGTGAAATAGCAAGAACTTGGACAGCGTGCTTGAGTTCGATCTGTTTTAACGGGCGTCACCAGGTGGGGTGTGTGGGGTGGGGGAAGGGGCCGGTCACGTCACGTTTCGCGCCAGCAGCGTCTGGGAATGCCGAGGAATGATCGAGGACGGGTTAGGAGCTGCATGTAGGTGGTGATTTGCACCACATCGCCTGTGTGAACCACAGTGCTTGCTTGCACCACAGCTCCTGCGTACACCACATCGCTTATGTACACCACAGCAGGTGCGTACAACACAGCGTCAGTGTGCACCACAGTGCCTGCGTGCACCACATTGCTTGTGTACACCACAGCCCCTGTGTACACCACGGCAGCCGTGTGCAACACAGCACCAGTGTATGCACATTGCTTGCGTGCACCACAGCGCCTGTGTACACCACGGCGCCTTTGTGCACCACAGCAACCGTTCCCAACATGACACCATTGTTGTCTATAGAATTGCAGAAGGAGCCCTTATTGCAAATTGGATCGCCTGTGGATTCCACAGAAGACAATTGTTTTACACATGCTTTGGAAAGGACTCCTCATGGCAGAAGCAGGGCTTCTGCAATATACGAGTCCGCCCGAGTCCTTCTGCATCATCCTAACTCAGGAGGAGGAGGAGGAGGAGGAGGAGGAGGAGATGGAGGAGGAGGAGGAGGAGGAGGAGGAGGAGGAGGAGGAGGAGGAGGAGGAGGAGGAGGAGGGCGCCATCGACAAGGAAGGCGAGGGCCACGAAGGCGTAGGCGAAGCAGGTTCTCACCTACATGCTCATTCTACCTCTGCTGTGCACGCAGGCGCTGTGGTGTACACCGGCGCTGTGTTGCACGCGGATGCTGTGGTGCACGCGAGCACTGTGGTGTACACGGGCGCTGCGTTGCACACGGCTGTTGCGGTGTACAAAAGCGCCGTGGTGTACGCGCGCGCTGTGGTTCGCGCAAGCAACGTGGTGTACACAGGCGCTGTGGTGCAGATCGCCAGTTACATGCTGCTTCTACATGGCTTCGATCATCCCTAGGCATTCCCGGACGGCGCCAGCGCGGAACGTGACGTCACCTTTGGGGGGTGGGGTGGGCGCGGGGCCGGTGACGGTCGTTATCGCGGAAAATAAAGCGACAGGCTCTTTGTCGCACTTCTGCTGTTCCCTGCTGGTGACCCGTCGTGGAAGTCAGAGTGCCGATCGGGAACCCGTCTGGTAAAAGCGCTTTTGTGTCGGTCCTGAGGTCCAGGTCGGGGCGCCTATTCGTGGCCGAGGCTCGCCGTGGCAGGAAACGCCCCTCGTTGCTTCTTCAAGTGGCCTGCGCCATTCCGCCGGTCCCAGGTGAGAAACGGTGTCCACTGGTGAGGCCTTCTGCCTCTAGGCAACCGTCTGAAGGGCCCATTGGGGGCATCTCTTGGGCCTCTTGGGGGCCTGTTGGCCCGTCTTGGGGTTGGGCGCCTGCTGGCGGTCTCGGGGGCCCTCCTGGGGCGGCAGGCTCGGAGTTGTCGATTCGAGCTCCCCCTCGCGGGATCACCCCCTGAGGCGTGGCCAAAAAAGGCCCTCGTCCCTTTTCCTGCGCTCCCTGGGGCAGCAAGACGGCCGCAGGGGCCCCGAGTCGGACAGAGCCCGTCTGTCCGAGGCCCGAAAACCATCACTTCACTAATTTTGGGCCCCAGGGCCCACTGAGGCCCCAGGGGCCCCAGATTAGTGAAGTGATGTTTTTTTTCCCACGTAAGGACCCCGAAATTCATCACTTCACTAAACCGAGCCCAGGACGAAAGTCAGGGGCCGAAGTGCTGCTGTGATGCCACATCGGCCTCGTCGTCTGCCCGACGGCGCGTCGTGGGGCTCCCCGCGGGCGCGCCGCGGCGCGCGAGGCCGCGCAGGAGCGGGCGAAGCAGGCCGAGGCGGCCGCCAAGGAGGCCGCCCCGCGCCCCGCCGCCCCCCGCCCGTGGCTGCTCTGCCGCGTGCCGTCGCGGCTCCTGCGCGCCCCTGCTGCGGGCACCAGCCTGCTGCCCCCTGCTGCTCGTCGTCCTGGCCCTCCTCGTCGTCCTCCTCCTCCTCGTCCCCTCGCCTAGTCCTCCTCCACCGCGGCCTCCTCCTCCTCGTCCTCCTCGTCCTTCGCCTCGTCCTCCTCGATCTTCTCGTCGGCCTCCTCCTCCTCGTCCTCCTCGTCCTCCTCCGCGTCCTCCTGAGGAGACTCAGGCATACTTATACCTTCTACCTATACGACCACCCTTCGAGTGAAGAGGAGGTTCGGGGGGAGGAACCAACGTCTCAATCAATCGATCTCACTATCGATCTCACAAACGATCTCACTAGAAATCGCACTGCCGACTTTACTATCGATCTTACCGTCGATCTGACTGTCGATCTCACTGTCGATCTCACGATCGATCTCACGATCGATCTCACGATCGATCTCACTATCGATCTCACTACGGGACACCGACGGGGCACCGCGGGGCACCGACGGGACTCCGACGGGACACCGACGGGACACCGACAGGACACCAGCGGGACACCAGCGGGACACCAGCGGGACACCAGCGGGACACCGACGGGACACCTGCGGGACACCGGCGGGACACCGACGGGACACCACGGCGAGAGAGCCCAGCCACCGCCCGCCCACTGGGGGAGGTTCGGGCAACGGCCTCGCCCCGCCCCAGCAGCAGCGGGGCCGTTCCCCGCGCCCGCCCTATACGCAGCGCCGCCTCGCCCGCACGCGCGGCGCCAGCCCGAAGCCGACGCCGATGCTCCCGCTGGGGGGGCTGCCCTCCCTTCGCTTCGCCCTCGCCTCAGAGAGGGGGGCAGGACGAGAGCAGGAGACCCAGTGGAGGAGGAGTGGGAGGATGCGAGTGGGCCACCGCGAGCATTCCGGGTCCATACCGATCCGATCGGTCCGATCCGATGTCGATTCGGCCCGATCCGATTCGATCTCGATTTCCTGCCGATCCGATGCGACCCGACGCTCACATGGCGTTGTTGTGCATCCTGGTGGGGCCGATGCGGTCCGATTCCGGCTCCGGGACTCCGTGCCGATGCAGCCCGACCCGGTGCACACGCCGATGTGACCCGATTTGCCGATCCGATGCCCGCGGGTCCTGGCAGCCGGTCAGCACCCTCCCCTCAAGCAGTGGCGAAGAGTCCTGGCTCGCCTATAGGCCCACCAAATAATGTTTTAAGAACCTTTTGTGGTCTGCACGAAATGTTCTTAGAACGTTTCTGGCTGGGACTGTCTTGTTTTAACACATCAGGTTTATGTTCTAAGAACAGTGTGTTTGTTTTTAGAACACTTCTAGATTCTAGGATAATTTCGTGGTAGGCCTAAAGGAAGGCCAGAACGGTCGGTCCCTGCTCAACCCACCCCCCGAGAAAATGGTACAGTTTTCGCGCTCCCGCAGCCACGATCTCTGGAGGGTGCGCCATAGTGGCGTCCTCGAGGCCACCATCCCTCCTTCACTGCGCGATAGTCGCGTCCTCAACCCCTAGACTGCAGTAGGTGCCCGACCACAAGAAACCTTCCACAAGAAACCCAACCCTGAGACCCCAGGGCGTCCACTGATTTTCGGCGTGGGTGACCACTGTACGCAGGATTGTGCGGTGCTCCTGGGCCCCTTTGGCTGAAGTCGGGTACGTCCTTCTACAGGAGGAACATTCAAACTTAGTAGAAACATACTATGGGGACGATGTTTTGAGTATTCCTGCATATTTTTAGAGTACATGTTGACTATTTTTATTCTTCAGGGGTGGACAGAACCCCCACCCTGACACGTCGATCAGTGAATTGTCCGTTTTCGGTTCTCGAGAGGGCGCCGCGGCCGTCATTTTCAAGGCCTGCGCCCGCCAGGCTTGGGCCCGAGGTCGCTTTCACTAAACCGCGTTTTGCTAAAGCGGCTCTGTCCATCCCCGAATGTTTCGTCCAAAATCCGGTCGTAGGAGTACACGCCCGACCTGACCCGTGGCCCTGCGTGCGTCAGGAGGGAAGGCAACACTCAGACACACTCAATCGTCAACTCCCAAGGGAGTATCGGAAAATGTGGGAAGTTGGGGGGGAAGACGAAAACCCAGAAAATGTTGAAAAATTGGAATCCTGGGATGTGTGTGTGTGTGTGTGTGTGTGTGTGCGCCGCCGTCGACGGCAACACCACATCGCCCTCCCTCCGGGACTTCGCCTTCGGCTCCTGTCCAAGGAGTACCTTTTCCTGTGCAAGCTCTTCAGCCCCGCCTGCACCCCGCGCCCTCCGGCCGCCTGAGGCCCCGCCCGCCCGCGCCCCGTCTCCCCAATTGGTGCTCTGCGCGGCCCGCCTAGCTCTGAACCGGAAGAGGCTCGCTCTCGACCCGCAGACCAAAAGTGTGTGTGTGTGTGTGCATTCGATATAGGAAAATATGGGAAGTGGGGGGGAAGACGAAAACCCAGAAGATATGGGAAAATGTGGGCATCCTGGTGTGTGTGTGTGTGTGTGTGTGCATTCGATTGGTGTGTCCCTGGGGCCCCCTTGACCCTTGGCCCCTGCCTGCGGTCGCGCGGCCGTGGCTCGCCCTTCGCGCGCGCCGCCCCTCTTTTTGTTGGGCGGCCCCCGGCGCGGGCGAGCGCGGCGCGGGTGGGCGCCCGTGGCCACTGTAAGACGACGCGAAGATCGGGACAACATCGGATCGGGGTAGCTCGGAATCTCTGAGAATCGGCGGGCGTGGAGGATGTAATTGGGCGCCGCGGCCGCTCCAGAGCGTTCCGGAACGCTCTGGGAGCGCTCCGGAACGCTCTGGAGCGATTTGTCCCGATCTTGGCCCTGTTTTACACCGCTCTGGAGGGGAAGAACACTTTTTTGGTCGGCGGGTCGCGAGCGGGCCTCTTCGGGTTAAGAGCCAGGCGGGGCGCGCGGGGAGACAGGGCCACCGCTCTGGAGGGGAAGAAGCACACAGACACAATTGGGCGTAGGTCGGGCGTGTCCTCCTTCAGCTGGATTTTGGGCGACAAATGCAGAATTGGCAACATGTGTTGTAAAAGTATTCAAGAACACCCAAAAGATCGTCCACGGATCATTTTCTACCATTTTTGAATCTTCCTCCTGTAGAGGGACGTGCCCGACTTCAAAATTAGGCATCGATTCCCAGGAACATGTGGAAACCATGGGAAGTGTGGGGGGGTGAAGACGAACACCCAGAACATCTATGAAGATTTGGGGGATCCTGGGACCTTTGTCTATCTACTCGCTGCCTTCAGCTGCACCAGACTGTTCTTTGAGCTGCTGCGCAGGGGCGTGTCTCGTCGAGGGTGAAATGACCGCTTACGCTAATGTCCCAGTGAAGTCGTGGCCTCACTGAGGTCCCCGTCTCTGCACTAGGGATGCTCAATCTGGGCGTCTTGGTTTGATGCATCTGTGGAAAAGACCCCGTCATCCCTAACGTTCTCGGCCTCCCAACTTAGGTCGCCTCCCAAAGGTCTGGGGGTTCTTGTAGTGTTACTCAGCGTCCAGCAACTATGTCGATTTTGGCAGTAGTGTTTTGGATGTTTTTTTCGGTTTGCTTTCTGCACAGCCTGGTTGGTGTGTGGGTTCTTTCGCTCGCAGCGCTGATATCGAAACAGGTGTTGCACTGGGCGAGCCTCCTGGGGCTCCCCGACATGGCGCGTACTGGGGCTGGGCACTGTACGGCAGGTTCGACTCGTGCCGACGCGGCAGCGACCCCAGCGCAGGCGTTCAAGGCGGAACGCCGCAGGTGGTCTCCAGAACCGGCTACTGCGGAACGGCCTGGCGACCAGCAGCCGATCGTTCAAGGTTGATTGTTTTGCGCGGTGTCAGACCAGGAGGGGGAAAAACACACAGACACGGTCAATCGTCGACTCCCCAGGGAAGTAGGGGCAAATATGGGAAGTGGGGGGGGAAGACGACCCAGAACATTTGCGAAACTATGGGAAGTGGGGGGGAAGACGAACATCCACAAAATATTGAAAAACATGGGGAATCCTGGGATGTGTCCCTGGGGCCCCTTCTCAGAAGCATGTTGTGGTCGTCACACGGCCCTAGCTTGCCGCAGGACTCTCTTGGGCGCCCTCGTCCGGGGCGGGCACGCGCCAGGAAAAGAAATACCACTCCTTGGGAGGTCCTCGAGATCCCCAGGGGCACCACTCCGAGGCCACGGCTCGTCCCGATTGCCCCGAGTCGATCCGATTCGATTCCGATGGCCTCCGCTTCCGATTCGGTTCGGCTTGGGATTCCGATTCGGGCTGCCGACCCGGCCGATCGACCCGATCCTTCAGGAGGGGAAGGAGCACACAGACACAATGAACCGTCGAGCCCCAGGAAAAGATGGAAAAATATGGGCACCGGGGGGCAAAGACAGAAAAACAGAACATGTGGGAAACCATGGGGCATCTTCTTCTTTGTGTGTGTACTTCTCTTCGTGTGCCCCAGGGCCCCTTCGATCCTGGGCCCTCCTGCCCTGGGGAGGCCCTCGAGATCCCCGGGGGGGGGGGGGAGGGGCACCGCTCTCCGAGGCGGCGGCGGCGGGGCCGCGCACTCCCCGCGCCCTCGCTCGGCGCGCGCGCGCCTCCCCGGGCGCCCCCGGCGGGCGCGCCGTGCTCGGCCGCGCGGCGGCCCGAGCCGTGCCGGGTGCCGCGGGCCGCGGGCTCTCCGGCCCGCCCGGCCCCCCCCCCCCCGCCCCCGCAGTCTTTAAGGAGCGATTCACCAGGGAACAGAAACCGGGTGTTAGGTTTATGTGGCTTTATATAAAGCTGTGAAGCGCCCCTTGTGCGCGGACCAAGTCTCAAGTCGGAACTGACCGGGTGTTAGGCCCAGGTAGACCGGGTGATAGGTCCCCATCCGAAAAATCAACCCCAAGACAAGGTATAAAACCTAAAACCTGGTTACTGAACCCTGGTTAATCCAGTCTTAAAGTCTTGGACGCCCGAAGCTTGGCATCGCTCGGACGTGTGCCTTTTTCCTTCGGCGAGGGCCATCGAGGAGCATCCTGGATCATCTCGCGAAAAGACCACGCACGAAACCGAAGAAAGCACAGAAAATGGACGTCCGAGCGATGGCCAGGAAGTGGGTACGGAGAAGAGGGGCACAATGCCAAACTTAGATGCTCGTTTGCGGGGCCTTTCTGGGGCCCACCCAACGGATCTGGTCGACCCCTGTTCGACTCAAGTTCGGCTCAAGTTCGACTCCGGTTCGACTCAGGTTCGACTCAAGATCGACTCGAATCGACGGACATTCGACGCATCTTCGACGCACGAGAGGAGCGAGTGGCTCCAGGAAGGTCCCCAGAATGAGCAGCCAACCCAACAACAAGGGTTGTCCCAAGCCAGCAGCGGCCGCTGTTGGACAGGCGGCCTTCTGTCTCAAACGTACACAGGCCGCGGCGACACCGACAGCAAGTCCTGTGCAAAATGAGCAAGATCTGCTGTTGGGCATCGTACCCATTCTTTCCGTACCCATTTCGGGCGTCCAAAGTAGCCCCGCTCTCAGGTCGGGTATGTCCCCGTGCAGGCGGATTTTGGGCGGAGAGCGAACCATATATCCAAAAAGTATGCACATATTACCAGACAGATACCAGAACATCGTCCCCATTTTTTTGTTGTTGTTCAAGAGCTATTTTTGAATCTTCCCCCTGTAGAGGCACAGGCCCGATTCAGTCCTGCCCCCCTCCTCCGCCGCAGCCCCGCCGAAGCCTTCATAGCGCCGCGAGGCCAGCAAGCGCCTCAAGAAGGCGGACGCCAGCCTGGCGGGCGCGCAGGCGGCTCCGGGATGGGCTGGGGGTGCGGCGGCGGGAGAGAGGGTGGGTCGGGGGCCCCCGAACGGGGTGGTGACCGCACCGTGTGGTGAGTCGGTGGGGATTCGGGGTCACCGCACGGTTTGGGACTCGAGCCCCTGTCCGAGGAAGTCTCGGGCGACAGGGGCCTCCAGGGTCCCAAGACCGTGCGGTGACGGACCGTGCGGTGAGGTCTCTTGGGGTTCCGAGGTCACCGCACGGTCTGTCACCGCACCGTTTCGGGACTCCAAAGAGAGACGGGAGAGGGGGGGAGTCGGAAGAGGAAGCGACACCAACATCGCCACCCCTCCCTCGTCGCGACGGCTGGATTCGCCTGCCGATCCTGTTCAGGCCGCACCCCTGGAGATGTCGGGGGGGGACCGGTTCTGGCATCTTGTGGTCCCCCCCCCTTCCAGGAGGGGGCGAGCTAGGTGCTCTCACGCCACATCTGACATCTTGCCCCTCCCGCACGTCTTCTCCCACTGCGCTGGATTTTTCTCTATTCGCCGACGAACCCATGGGTCATCTCAGATTTTAAATTTTGGCACTTCGGGGCCCTCTTGGGGGGGTCTCCTGGGGCCCTGTTGGGGCGTCTTGCCTTTGGAACAGTCGCGCGGCCGACCCCAAGAGCGCTCAAGAGCGCCCAGGAGATTCTGTTTTTTTCGGGCCCTCGGCCCCCTAGGTAATTTGTACAGTGCTCAATGCAGACAACCCCAGTGAGCCTGATTCCACTCCAACTCGTGCCTCAGTGCACGGTGACGGGAACACATTTGTATGCCTGTCTGTATACACATATCTGTATGTTTATAACTGCACATGCGTGTTGTACATGTTTGTGAATATATATATATATATATATACATATATTATATATATGCGTATGTCTGCATCGACGTATGATGGGTTTGTATGGAGACTGCGCGTGTGGAGGGGGAGGCCGGCAGGGCCCTGGGGGGCCCGCGAGGAACGGCTCGAGGCCGCGGAGGAGGCTGAGCAGTCCGCCCGCGGCGACGTCGAGGCGGCCGAGCGGCGGGCCGCCGAAGCGGAAGAGGCCCGCAAGGCCAGGCGCGAAGCCGCGGCTGAGAAGCTGAAGGCGCTGGAGGAGGCCGCCGAACAGGCCGCCGCCCGCAAATGTCCCCGCCGCCTCAGAGGGGGGAAGAGGAGGAGGAGGGGGAGGAGGAGGAGGAGGAGGAGGAGGAGGAGGAGGAGGAGGAGGAGGAGAGGAGGAGGAGGAGGAGGAGGAGGAGGAGGAGGAGGCTAGGACTCTAGGAGGAGGAGGAGGGGGGGGAGGAGGAGGAGGAGGAGGAGGAGGAGGAGGAGGAGGAGGAGGAGGAGGAGGAGGAGGAGGAGAGGAGGAGGAGGAGGAGGAGGAGGAGGAGGAGGAGGAGGAGGAGGAGGAGGGAGGAGAGGAGGAGGAGGAGGAGGAGGAGGAGGAGGAGGAGGAGGAGGGAGGAGGAGGAGGAGGAGGAGAGAGGAGGAGGAGGAGGAGGAGGAGGAGGAGGAGGAGGAGGAGGAGGAGGAGGGAAGGAGGAGGAGGAGGAGGAGAGGAGGAGGAGGAGGAGGTGGGAGGGAGTCGGAGAGAGGAGTAGGAGGACGAGGAGGAGGGAGGAGGAGGAGGAGGAGGAGGAGGAGGAAACGAGGAGGAGGAGGAGGAGGAGGAGGAGGAGGAGGAGTCTTCAGAGGAGGAGGAGGAGGAGGAGGAGGAGGAGAGGAGGAGGAGGAGGAGGAGGGCGGAGGAGGAGGATGAGGAGGAGGAGGAGTCGGAGGAGGAGGAGGAGGAGGAGGAGGAGTCTATGAGGATGAGGAGGAATATAGGAGGAGGAGGAGGAGGAGGAGAGAGGAGGAGGAGGAGGAGAGGAGGAGGAGGAGGAGGAGGAGGAGGAGGAGGAGGAGGAGGAGGACGAGGAGGAGGACGAGAAGGATGAGGGCGGAGAAGGAGGAGGCGGAGGAGGAGAGGAGAGGAGGAGGAGGAGGACGACGAGGACGAGGAGGAGAAGGAGGAGAGGAGGAGGAGGAGGAGGAGGAGGAGGAGGACGTGGAGGAGGAGGAGGAGGAGGAGGAGGAGGAGGAAAAGCGAGGTCGATGTACCTCAAGGACCGGTGTTAGCAAGGGCCTCGCGACACAGATGCTGGTAGGAGTCTCCTGTTTCTCAAGCAGGGCACGGACCCTTCCAGCAAGAAGGTTCTCGGCATGAGCGTTCCTGTCAGCAAGCTCTGCCAGAGGCCGCCGTGCTCGCCAGAGCTTCAAGATCGTAGAATCTTTCTTTTTATGGTCCCTGTCTTTCGCCGGAGCGTCATTGCGTAGCCGTGACCTTCTCTTAACGCTTAAGGGCGATGGAGGAGGAGGAGGAGGAGGAGGAGGAGACACCGATGCCGCTGCCCGTCCCTCGTCGCCGCCGCTGGATTCGCCTCGAGATCCTGGTCAGAGATCCCTCCACACCCCTTCCGCACTCCTCCACGCTGCCCCACGCTGCCACCGTACTCCGCTGGCTTCAGCGAGCAGGGAGTGTTCCGCCTGCTGGGTGTTGGCTTTGCGCCGTTGCGTTCTGCCTCGGCGGGCTGGTCGATTGGTTGATAATATAGCGATCGAGTGACTGAGAAACCCTTCGATTGATCAAACAACCAACCACCTCCACACATTTCATGGCAGTCCATGGGTTGCGCTATGTCATATGTGAATCACTGAACCATTTGATGAACTGATCGGCCGAACGAACGCATCTGCCTTGGCGCACCAAGGGCACTCTTTGGGTTACATGTTGAGCCGTCTCCAAACAGCCCGACGTGAACAGACCTTAAGGCTTGCAATCGTGGTTGCTTCCTTCGTGAGTGGATTTCCCCTCGGGGCCTATGACCTCTTCCCTCGAGCATTCTATTAGGAGGCCGCCGTTCTTCATCGCCCTCGTAGCCTCTCGCTGGGCTTGGCTTGACGCCCTCCGACCGTGCCATGGGACCACGCCTGGAGGAGGAACCCTGCATTTCCATGGCCCACTCTGTCACAGGCAGACGTTGGCACGCGGGCGGCTTGACTGGGAGGGGCGTTGCAGTCAGGACGATGCATAGGGTGAGAGGCAAGCGGCGGAGGTGGAGCAGCCATGGGAAGGCAGTCATCGAAAGGCACGGGGAGTGAGGCAGACAGGGCGGGCCAGGGCTGGGAGAAGAGGTCTGCGAAACTGAGAGACACCCATAGTTGTTCGTCAGATTTTGTCATGTCGAGCTGTTCGAGGTGGGGTTCACCCACACGCTCTCGGTCTGCATCGCCGGCAGGATGATAGATGTCGAGCGCAGAGAGCGCAAAATCCGATCCTTCATTGCCAAGCGTGTGTATCGATTGGCAACCAGAGGCCGCACAGCCTGAACATGGCATCGCCCCTTTACTGGCCAGTACCTCACTTGCGGTCCAGGCGCTAAACTAAGGACCACTTTAGGATCAGGAGGGGCTCTGGTTTTCGGGGTTGTTCCATAGCCGTCGGTCGGGGGACCTATTCGTAGCCGAGGTCCTGTGGCCAGAGAAGCCCCATTCGTTCCTCATCTAGCGTTCCTGATGGTAGCGCATGGCTGTACGGCAACATGATGTAATGCAGTGCAGCCAGCGCTAAAGCGAGATCAACCGACTGAAGATTCTGGGCGTCCAGTGCTGAGGAGTAGCAGTCATTCAAAACATTTGGCGAGCGCACGGGTGAGAAGAGGCGACCAGATTTTGTGGCCGTTGTGCAAGTGGAGCGCACGTCTGATTACGTCATTCGCACCCAGTGGATGAACATACACCATCAAGGACGGAGCTGATGCAGAGCGCTGGGGCGAGCACTACTATCGATTAGCTTCTACTCGCTACCTGCAAGTCTAGCCGTCCATGTAAGGATCCTGATGGCGCAGAGGCGGAAGCATCGTTGCGACTGGGAAGATGTTGGACGCACTGGACAAACACACCATGCCAGCTTGTGTGTTTGGGTACCGAGGGTCCATGTTGTGCGAGGCATATTCCACTTCTGGCTTTTTTTTCCGCGGTGCTTTCCACTTCTGGCTTTTTTTCCACTTCTTTTCTGGTGTGGGCGAGCAGCGCGGGTCTGCAGCCTATCGGGCTGATGCGCAGCTGTCTGCTGCCCCCCTACCCCGCACGTGCACGGGCGTTTGGCCGCTGCAGTGTGCACTGCTCGCGGGCCTGCTGGAGACACGGCGCCTTCTTTCTCCCTATCTCCCAAGACGGTGTGCTTGCTATTACTTAGATCGGGCGACGAAATCTATACATAGCCAGTGCTCCCTGACCATGCCCATCTTGAACCCAGGAGCTGTGTATGCGCCCTCCTGGCCAAGCCAGGAGGGCGTGGCGTATACACCGCTGCGGGGTTGAGGATGGGCCTGGCCAGGGAGCAGTGGATATGTATAGATTTCGTCGCCCTATTAGAAGGCTCCGAGAACCCTCACTGTTGCCCCACTGGATCTTCTTTCTCGCAGGCCCGCCCTCCCATAAGAGAGTGTCAGGCCAGCGAGCGGTTGAAGAAAGCCGACGCCAAGGTGTCGGCTGCGCAG